GCTCGCCCGCTGCCCCCCACGCTGACCGCGAGGCCGCCCGCGTCCTGTCCCGCCGCGGCCCGCTCCTTTTGCGGCTGAGCGGGTTCCGCGCGTGGATGGACCACAGCTTGTCTACCTGTCGACGGGCACCTGGGTTGGTGCCTGGTGTGGGCGGTAACGAAGGCAGCTGCTCTGAACACTCCCGGTAAGACTTTTCCTGGACATCTGTGCCCACTCCTTGTGGGTCAGTGCCCAGGAGTGGGCTGGTTTGGGGGTAGCTAGATGAGCACGTGAGAGGAAGCAAGACGGGGAGGGAAACATTGATCCCCGCCTCCTGCAGGCCCCCCACTGGGGACGGGCCCTGCTGGGAATCGAACCTGTGACCTCCCGGTGCAGGGGAGGGTGCTCAGCCCACTGGGCCACACCGCCGGGCGGTAGGTGAGTATTTAATTCCAAGGAAACTGGCAGCTTTCCAAAGCGCTGGGGGAAAAATACATTTTATCCAACAACATTACCAAATCTCCTATTTGTCTTTTATCCACATATTGAACTAAGACCGCTCTGAGCTCATCTACAGGGGGGCTGTGTTATTGGTGCAAAGTACAGAGAACCCCCTTATTATAATAACTCAGACTCTCAAAACATCCGATACTGAATAACGGGGTGTCTGTACGAGCCCACCCCTCGAAGGACACAGCCCCTTCCCCTGGCCGGTTGGTGCTGGGGAAGCAGGACTTCTCTAAGCCGATGCGCTTTCACCTGTAAAATGTGCAGAGAGGTGAGACGGAAAGGGTGTCCAAGCTGTTCCAACCTGCTCAGTGACCAAGGGGACAGAGTGCATTCCTCGCCTTGGGGCGAGGCTGACGGTGGGGCTGGCCACGTGCACTCCCCAACAGCCCCAGTCACAGAGGCAGGTGATTAGAGACTGCCACCTGTTTTTTCTATGTCCTGATAAAAGGTTCAAGATAATTGCTTCCAGACCCCTTTCCAGACTCTCGACTCCAGGTGCTCCAGGCCCCACCCTATCTGCACATTCTCTGCGGCTGACGTAAAGCTGCTCGTCTCTGGATGCACGTGACTTGATGAAACAGCAGGTGCACACCTGTGCTCCCCTCGGCGCTCCCGCCCCCACGAGCACCCCTCATGTTCCTGCAGCCGGACCTTTTCAAGGCTTCCCAGAGCTCTGCTCCGGGGCTTGTCTTCAGGTGGCCGGGGAAAATCTCTTCTTCAATCTACACAGGTGCCAGTCTTCTTTTCGTGACGTATGCCGCGTCACAGCCTGGGGCTTCCTCCCGAAGATTTTGTCCAGAGATGGAGGAAATGCAGCACCAACCCGTGTCCGAGCAGAGGGTTTAGCGGCCACCGCAGAACCCAGATGGAAAGCTTCCCGCCACTCCCAAGTTAAAACGGCAGGCTCACCTCGAGAGGCCAGGCTGGATGCTCTCTACGCAGCTGGAAGCCATTTCTCTCTTTTGAAAAATACAGACTCTTACCCGGCTAGTGTGGCTCAGATGAGCGTCGGTCGACCCCTGCACCAAGAGGTCACTGGTTCCCTTGCCAGTCAGGGCACATGCCCGGGTTTTGGGCTCAATCCCCAGTAGGGGGTGTGCAAGAGGCAGCCCATCAGTGTTTCTCTCTCATTGATGTTTCTCTCTCTCTCCCTCTCCCTTCCTCTTTCTCTAAAAAAGTCAATAAAAGCATATATTTTAAAAAAATGTAGACTCTGATTGGCTGTCAGAATTGTGCATCTCAGTGGTAGCAAGAGGTTACCAGACAGTCATCTTGTAAGGAGAAGCCATTTCCCGGAGGCCGTCGGGGGCCGGGGTCCCCAGAGCTCACCTGCCTCAGGCTCTCTCCCTCCGTCTCTCCTGCTGTGTTGTGAGGGAGGAAATCATTCTTTGGAAACTCAGGCCGTTTCTGTGTGTCCCTGTCACCTGCACCCCACGGAGTTGCGCTGCTGGGGATGGTGAGGCCCAAGGATGCTGGTGCAGAATGTGTTTTCCCTACTTCTTGCAAGTTCCTGCGGCCATCCTGGGCCCCGTCAGAGACGTCTGAGAGCACGGTGGAGCCCCAGGAACAGGCTCGTGACCAGTGGCTTGGCCTATCCATGGAGACCCAGAGGGCCAGGCGGGGACCTGCTGACACAGAGATGGGCAGGGTGGCACTGTCACCCAGCAGAGGGGGAGCGGGTGCTCAGGCTCTAGAGTGAAATCTTTTAAGTGTTTGGTTTTGGAAAACATATTTACTGCCGCGGCCTCTCTTACTCAGACTGGCTCTGAGCAAACAGACACTTGGTTTTGTGAACCAAACATGTGGGTCACCCAGACTGCTGTGCAGGCAAAGCATCGGTGGCGCCTTCTAGTGTTTAAAAATCAAGACAAAATGACAAAGTCTGAACAAAACATGTGCGACCACGGCCGTTCAGTGGCTCTCGGATGTTTATTGCTACACTGCTCCCACTCGACATACAACCACGTGATACAAACAAGCCACCTAAGGTCCACGCTTCGAGCACCTCGGCTCATTCCAAACAGCAGGATCGTAAAAACGTGCACAGTGCTGGCCTCCGGATGTTTAAAATGCTCGTGGAAATCCGTGGGTCGAGCTGAAGGCTTAAGGAGAAATATAAAAGTCCAGAAAATCGTTTCATATTTCTTTTTTACAGCATCGACTTTGGCTCCGTAGGGCACTGTGCCTCCGTAGGCACTGCGCTGTGCCTGCTGGGGTAGGCTCTGTCACCGTCTAAAACAGCTGGATGATCGAGTCCCTTGATTTGCCGACACCAACCCATTTCACTGGAAGGGAAAAGAGTTGTTC